CTTCAACGACGATTTTGGCGTACGCTACATGCCTATGATCAGGGTCAAGATTATAAGCAAGTGCTGTACATGTTCTTTACTTCTCTTGCCAAGGAAAATATCGTTTCGCATTGAAAAATTACAAATACAAATTTAAACTTAAATTTGTATTTTTAGAACTTAATTATCAAAATAAGAACAAAAAAATATTTGTGATTAAAAAAGGTCTCTTCATGTTTAAGTAATATTTTATCTTACTTTTAAACTTGGTTATACTTTTAATAACCCTATGTATTTCATATAAGGCGTTCTGCACGTCTGTAACAGTCTTGTGAAAGAGATGTATACACAAAAGAACAAAAATGTATGTTTTAATATACCTTCATTCATCATCTTACGAGAAACGGATAATTAATTTATCAACTATTTTGTCATCAACAATCAACTAGACTTACCCGGCAATATATTTGTTTTTTTTCTTCTACCAAAAGATGACAGTTTATAGAAAATTATTCGCGTATAAATTTTATTTTAATATTTTATTTTTTATGTGTCATGAACATTACACAAACTATAAGGGTGTGGTGTAAAGATTTTCGATTTTGAAAAAAGTTCTTTGCAATGATTTTTTCCAGGCTTGTGATAAACCATATTCCGAAAAGTAGTTTTTGTAGAGTCACGTTGATGACACATAAAAGACAAAATACTAAAATAAAATTTATACATGAACAATTTGACTACTGCAGTAAAAAGAAACATGCAACTATATCCAGCTGTGGTACTGGACATATCGCTTTTCATTCACTGCAGTAGTCAAATTGTTTGTGTTGCCAAAGGAAATAGTCGAGCCCGCTGCCGATCCTTGCAAACAGCTTTTTTCGAAAATGAAAATGTTTAGATCATACCCTTATGTGGATTCTCCACCAATTATTTGCGATCTAGCACTTCGTGGTGCTAGAATATTTTTTGTCTTCTTGAAAAACACCTGATACCAAGTGGTTTTTCGAGTAATAGTGGAAATGTCGGCCTCTCCTCCCAGATGGGGCCGTTATTTTAAAATCTTTTAAAGGACATTATCTTAGTCAGAATTTTAGAATCAGTTCAGATCTTTCTTTCTGTCGTTCAGAATTACGTTCTTCTATTTTTCGAGATTTCTTTCCTATATTCCAATTAGAATATCGTTTCTAGAGCTTGTATCATATAAAAGAAAGACCTTGTTGGCACAAAACACTTGACTTAATGTTTTCTTAAAACTCAGCGAGTGATCTTAATCAATTGTAGACAAAACATGATAGTAGACAGTAAAAATACTCATTCGTTAGCTATAAACTGTCGTCTTTTTGAAGAAGAAAAAAACAAATAAATTATCGGGTAAATCTATTGCCTGGAAGGAAGAAGAAGAAGAGATTGTTGATGACAAAATAGTTGATAAACTAATTATTCGTTTCTCATAAGATGATGGATGAAAATATATTAAAACACACATTTCTGTTCTTCTGCGTGTACATCTCTTTCATAAAACTGTTACAAACGTAAGATATGGCAAGAAAAGAAATTCGATACGTTCTCCAAACGTCATGGTGCAACAAACCATCTGGGGTGAGCGAAAAGTTACAGAAACACAATTTATCAGGCAAGAGTAATGACAGTTTTAAACAATCAGAAACAACTACCAATTCTCACAGCCTAAGTGAATTACGTGATTTAAATGAGAATGATCGAAATTTATTTGAACAAGTAAATCATAGGAATAGCTTTAGGAAAGTATTAGCAGAAAAGAGCTTAGATCAAAGAAAGACCGAATCCAACTGAAAAATAAAATTAGCAATTGATTTTCTTAATCTGCGGATTAGACTCTAGTTCGAAGTTCGAACTGGAAAGACACTGAAAAAAGACAATACTGGTGAGTGTCGAAATGGCATATTATAATGACTCCTTAAAAGAGAACTTCATGCACGTGGTCTCTTTCTGAACTATAGTGGCTCCCAAAATTATTCGGCCACCCTTGTTTTCAATTGTTTTCTATACGCTCGATAGGTAGAACGAATTTTTTATAGATCGAAGAATTTCCTATCAGATAACGTGCGTATCGAAACTTCATAAAAAGTTTTGGAATCAGGGTTCATAGAAAACCAAGCCGTACAACAACACTCCCTGGAACAATTTTTCGAACCACTTCATCTTATAGAGCAAAGCATTCTGAAGAAACTAGTCGCAAATCACTCAGTCATGCTGTAACGATAGTTTACAGAGAATTTGGCGAAAACAAATACCGACAGGAGCAACTCATTAACAAGATTTGCACGGGAAATGATCATTATAATCTAAGTACTTTTCAGAAAATAATATAACCGCTCCCTCCCCTCAATGAGAAAAGGGCTCCAAATGCATATTTGACCTATTTTCAACCAGTTTTTGTATTCACTATATATTCTTCGTTGAAATCATCACTACAATTGACTCCGACATAGTCGAAATCAGAGTTTGAAGTAGACTTGTTTTGAGGTAATCAGTATTGTGCCCCACCCCCACGCAGCGGAACTTGAGGTACAAGTAGTGCTTGAGGTATTGTCAAGTACTACTCTAAAGTTTAGTAGCCTGGAGTTTCTTTTCGCTCACTTTCCAGCTCGAAACTAATTAATTAGCAATGCTCTTTCCTAATTGCTATTTCCTGACTGTGTCGTATGAAATTGTTAATTTTTATTTTTCTCCTGTTCTTGTCTGAATCGGGCTCTTCATTCTGAGTTACTTTCCTGAGCTATTGCTTTCTGATTTCATCGACTAACTAATCATTCTTTTCATCTTATTGTTCGCAGTATCGTGACAGAATTGAAGCAAAATTCAGTGGAAAATTCCAAAGGATTCCTCCCACATTTAAAAGTTTCAAAATACAACCAGTTAAAGCACAAACATCAATTATAGTCCAATATCAATACTGGTTCAGAGTATGTAGTCGTCCTTCAGCTTGAAAGAAAAGACAGAAGGAGTGAACGTTTATACGAAAAGAAAAAAATGTGAAAACTTTGATCCTCTTGATATCAGCGTCTGTCAAAAAGTCATGCTGTCCACGCTGTGCGTTATTTGAGGGGGGAAAATGAGACAAAAAACGATGCCTTCATCTGATCGTGAATAATAAAGCGGCATATGCTTACACACGCCTCTCTTGCAAGAAAAGCTGTCTTATGGACTTAGGTTCTACAAAAGCTCGAGCTTAGTTTCCTGTATCTGAAGAAAGGTATGACATTTATTCATGAATTTCTGCCAGAGCGGCGCATGGTAACTGTACCGTATCGTGCAACTCAGATTACAGTTAAGAACAGCGTAGGGTAGGTCATAATAATCGTAGCCAAAATATCGCTTGTTTTGGGCGTTTTCATATGTCATAGGGTACAGGAGGACATCGGATAAAAAGTGTATGACATATTGAAAACAGTCTCATTTGCGCTCCAACATTTGACCTCAATTCACGACGATCTATATTTAGAGTACGATGATACCAACTTAGAAAGAGCTTTAAATATCCTACATAGCTCTAGCAAAATAACTCTTTTTTTCTTTAGGTATTACTTCCGAATGGCCGTTATGGTAACGTTCGAATATATCAACCGTTTGAAAGTGGAGCAGAAGGAAATGTCGATGTAGAGAAGGGTACAACAACAAAATTAGAAAAATATTTTCAACCAAATTATACACTAAGACAATAATCTTACCATTTTTAACCGCTCTGTATAAGAAATATAGAGATGTGGTGAAATTTCTACAGCGTAAAAACAAGTAAAAATCAAGCTACCGATAACAAATCTTGGGAAACTATTTAGAAAATTAGGCATTCTATCTTGTTCAGTAGAAATAGCTAGCTGCTTAGCAATTCGTTAGCCCAGCTCAGCATTCTATTTCCTAGTTCAGTTTCTCGTACTGAGTTGTGAAATAGAATACTTTCCAGGTACAGTTTACTGTTTTAGAGTTTCATGACTTTTAACTTTAGAAAGTATAAGGTATGATGAGACCAGTTTTCTACGAATCTATTTGCAGTAAACAAGATGGAATGTCTAATTTTCAAAAAGTTCTCCCAAGATTTGTTATCGATAGCTTGTTTTTTACTTTTAACTTTGCTTTTATTTTGTCATAATTCATTTATGCATGTGTTTGTAAAAGAACGAGACAGCAGATTCATACTGTATATTAGGTTCCGTTAAATTGTGTAAAATAAGTACTTTTGCCTGACGTTACATTATCCTGATGTTTATTATAGACAAGAGTTTGTCCATTCTTCAACAGAAACTTCTGTGGGGCAAAGAGTACGAAATCTAGAGAGGAAGAAGAGAACAAAAGGTGAAAAAAATAACTTTTAGGCAATGCGACCCTTCATTGATCTCTGTAAAAAAAGATTTATTTTCTTTTCATAACCTAAAAATCTGTTTCCGTTACATTAATTTCGCTCCTCTTACCTGGTATGCTTGATTGAAAAGATATGCTTTTATTTAGAATTTGAAGATCTTTGTGTGGAAAACTTTTAAAAAAATGATTTGAAAGATCAAGCAAGGGAACCGTGCATAACGGCCTTACAAACTGAGTCATGATTTGGAGACGCCGGGCAACGAAGGTAAAGGTTGTACTGCTTACAAGCAATGGCCCGGCAATCTCATGGAAGAAAGGGTGGTCGAGAGATGGTCTTATCGTCTCAGTTCGTATGCTCTGCGTCGAAAATTTTTTAAAGCTCCACAGCGGTTTTCCAAACGTGTGAAGGTGGACAAAACGAGGGTTCCTCTTCATTGAGCGTAGATGTGGAGTTGCGAAGGTCCTGGATCTTAGGACCTGCAATAGTTCAGTGGACCTCGAGCTTTACGTATATAATTTTTGCTTTCATTCTGTCATGAAGAAATCTCGAAACTTTTTGTAAAAAGCAATATCTTTCCTTCATGGAAGAGAACTACTGTTTCCAGTCCAGGACAGCGGGGAACTATGTAGGAATAGTTAGGGCTAACTACAAATTTATTCTTCATTCGATCGGATGCATAATACTACAGAGACAAAGCAATTCCAATCTGTTCAGCCAGTCCAATGACATATTCTTCTTGTAATCGTCTGCCAATAACTTGTACAGATACGGGAGCTCCATGGTAAATATCGGCATCATAATCATTATGTATTTCCGTGTCCAGTGGACTAATGCCCTTGTACGTCGCATCCTTGACATCTGTTTCCCTGTCTGCAAATGTCACAGGAAGGACAACAGCTGGCCAATCGAGTAGATTAATGACAGTTGTATATCCATAATATTTGAAATCATTGTGCTTGACAGCAGCATGAGGAGCCAGAGGATGAATCCAACCGTCAACATGACTTATCTCTTGCCAAATAGCTAAATATTCTTGTTGATATTTATACCTTTTGCTTTGAATATCCCAGACAGCATTTAGTTCGAGCCGTGTTGCTCCAGGACCAAGTAATTTGTCGATGTTGAATATGGGCGGGTCTCCACTGAATGCCAGTGCGTTTCTCACATCTTCTCCCACGTCGGCGCTAGAGAATGATCGGATGAGGTCGAATGCATATCCATGTTTGTACGGTTGCCACTCGACAACTGTATGATCAGCTTTTGCGAAGGGCATCGACGACCAGTCGGATGGCTCGAAAGACGGGTGGGTGCGGCATGATGACGCCATCAAAGCCAAGAATTCGATGTGGTAAAAGAATTGCTGTTACTATACAAGTTTTTTGAAAGTGCCGTCCAGCAATAAACTTTGACATCACTTAAGGGTAGCCCACTTTTCTGATCCTCTTGAAAATCAAGAAAACCAATATCTGATGGGGTGAAAGTTATGGCAGAGATAGAACATTGGAAAAGAAAATCAATATATTTTTGTCCAGAATTTTCTGACATGTCCTTCTATGGATTTTCTGGAAAACTGTAGTCTTGATCAGGTCACATTACGATCCCTCGAAAAAATCGCCCGATCAAAGTGAAAATGTTACCACATGTACTTTGGACCCTATCTCATATCCGCTTTTTTTCTTTCAAAGAATATGCTCTCCTTTTAGGGATATTCGAAAAATACTAAAAATCCTGCGAACATCAAATTTATACTGAAGTTTGGTCAATCACAATTTTTACCCTGAAAGTTTACAGCTACTGAAATTTGTGTTCACAACTGCTGACAAAAAATCCTCTGGAAACCACAAAAATCCGCGTATGTAAAATTTATACTTCAAACTTCCTTTTCCTTCGGAAAACGGACAAGTCCTAGGAAGTTTTCACAAAAGAAATCTAAACAGACCAACTTCTTTGACTTTAGGAACTTACCACAAATGACCCTCCGTGACTTTTGAATCCAGAGAACCCTCACACCTTCAACTTGAATTGAAATATTTCTTAAACTTTCTTGTGCCAAAATGTGTGGAATGACTCCGTTTATCCAATTATGTGGCTTCGAGGCCAAAATAAATTTGTGGAATTCAGAAATGGCAAAAATTAGAAATTGTTTCTATAACTTTTTCCAGAAATCTAAAAATATTTTAGTAACAATTATGAGAAAGTTTTTCTCCTTGACATGTAAAGTATAAGATATCTTTATTTGCGAACAATTTAACAACCCCCAAAAAAATTTTCCCAGAAATGTTCTTGAGTGGAAACTATTAAAAATAGAGAAATAATAGAAAGTAGACAAGAAGTTTGAAAACAAAAACATTTTGTATAAATGACAAGAGTTCAAGTATAAAATGTTGTAAATGGAAGATTACACGATATGTATGTTGCACTTTATAATGCGTTTGGTTCGTCCTGTATTGAGCTATTTAACCTAATCATGGCTGCTATCTAAATGATGTTTACTGGATATTTATTTATTAACGTTGATTTTATTTCTACTTACTCGAGGTGAATCTGTCTGCGTTATGTCTTGTAAACTCAGAAGTAATAGCTAAAAGCAGAATACGTTAATTATGCCTACGTTGACGTTAAGGTCTTACTCGATTGAATCTGTTCCAATCAAACGCTAGGCGTTGAACGTCCATTCGAGTACTGAGTACATCGATTTTCAAATTTCTAATGCTTGTTTCCATATCAGGAGAGACTTCTCTTCTGAATTTTAAAGAGGGTTTTATGACCATAGTAAAGAAAAGCACAATTACTCACAAAACTGGACTCGTCACATTCCACTGAGTCACTCGATCTGTTGATGTTGTAAGACTTCCTTTATTAACAATTATTGAATGCAGGTTTTGTAGTTCGTGTTGAACATTCAGAATATCATTTTTTGCTACTGCAACTACTTCAACATTCGCAGTTGACTCTTCTTTTCTGTTTTCAAAATAAAATGATTACCCCTTTTTTATCATAGGACGAACGAGTGATTACTCACTTTTGTACTGGATCACTAAATACGCTCTCTTCTGCTTGTTTTTTTTTCTTTTCTACGGCATTTTGCGCATAATAATATGTTGCAGCATTCTCAAATTCATTCCAATGTGCATTAGATTTTTCTTTGTCATTTGCAATCATTTCTAATTTTTAAATAATAGTTACAATATTAGGAGTGTCTTACATAATCACTTACTAAAAACACGCGTCAAATGCTGTTTCCGCTTATTATTCACATCATCTACTCGATTATCAATACATTTTGAACGACGAATTCGTTTAATAACGTTATTTGTAGCCCAAAAGAAATATGATATAATATTGAGTGGAGGATAGGCGAACAACGGCCGTTCGAAATATTTTCTCACAAATGAATACCTTTGGTAACGCCAAAAAAATTCGGTATTTTCTTCGACTTTAACAATTGTACTACTACAAAAACCAAAGTCAGAAACTTTAAAATCCATCAAAACAATAAAGTATCATTACTTGAACACAGCAATAAGTAAATTTAAAAGCAAAATTTGAATGAATAGTGTGTGGATTGCAAGGAGAACATGAGTAGCTGTGGCTTGTGCAACACTGTCAGATGTACTATTATCACCATTGATCATATCTACGTTATAATAGAATACAAATATATGTTTGAAAAATTGAGTGTTGACTGTACTTACTGTCCAGTGTTGCAAGTTCGTCTCCATTATTTCCATAAATGAACCAGTAGGGTGGATAAAGAATATTACTGAAAATACCATGACCGCTGAACTCTACATTTCCATAACTGATCATGGATCGTGATACAACGCCATATGCAGCAATAAATATAAATATGATGTAAACAAATGCTGATAAATCCCGAAGCTAAACAAGAAAAAAGTGGGTGGGAAATATGACGTGGCACGCCGATTGAGATGTACCATATTTTTGATCATGAACAGCTTTGGGCCGAGATATTTTAGGACAATGATAAATTTCAACGATTGTAGATACCACAACTCTAGATCGAAGGCCATTAATATTCTATAGAGGTAACGTGCGTAAATCAGAAAAGTGGTAAGATTCGAAGAGTATTAACTAACCTTGCGACAGTCAACAGACTTGGTGTATCTCCGTATCGATATCGAAGTAATATTCCCAAATAAAACAGTGCGTATAATGAAAAGTAAAAAACCTTTGTAGATGTTGCCAACAGCCACGAGTTTGACTGATACCATCTCTCTTGCATTCGATTTTGGTAGTGGTATACCAGCTATATTGACAAGACGCACAATTGCTGTGGGGAAATTCCATACAGTTTCATCCATTTTACACAGAGCTCTTGGCCGACAAAAACAGCAAATGTCCGTCGCAGAGAGCATCAAGAATTATCTAAAGATTTCCTGAGAAAATCTTTCAAAAACAGTACAGAATATGTATTTTTAGAGATATCAAGTTTCTGACATTTAAAACTATCCATTTAAAGGAAAATCCTGTACTGTCATACATAAAAATGAAGTTAAAAACACACTGATTTCAGTCATAAAATAACTAATTCAATCTTCTTTTTGAAATACAAATTGAAAAATTCTGAATGCTTTTCTCGAGAATGTCTCGAACATTTTTCGATATTTCTTCAACTTTTGATACTACTCAACTCTACTCATCCATTGAATAGTAGCGCTATAGAGCTACAACTTTGGCAACAAAATCATACATTATCCAACCTTTTAGGGAGCGGGTTTTTTAGAAATTCACTTAAATTCAGCGCTTTAGGATGACCTCATGCTTAAGGCATTCTCGTTTTATAGCGTTCGGAAATTCTTGATTATTTGATAAATTGAGTGTCGTTTTGAAAGGTAGGCAGCGATCGATCTGATTATGTTGCACTGAAATCAGCGTGTTTTTAACTTCATTCTGATGTATGACAGTACAGGAGTTTCTTTTGTTCAGTACAAAATCGATACTTTTAAATGTCAGAAACTTGATATCTCTAAAAATACATGTTCTGTACTGTTTTTCAAAGATTTTCTCAGGAAATCTTTAGATAATTCTTGATGCTTTCTGCGAAGAACATTTTCCTTTTTTGTCGGCGAGGAGCTCTGTATAACGTGGGTGCTCCTTGTGAACTAAACAATACCTGTCGTAGTTCTTCACATAGTAATGCTGATATTGTAATGATAACATATATTTCAGTCCCATGTAACCGTCCTTGAGTCTTACTCGGAGCATCAAATTTATACAACATCATGTAACTGAACACAAGCAGCAAAAGTATATAGGCAATCTTAAATTTCAGAGCGTAGATTGTATTATATTAACAAGTACTCAATCTAATGCTGAACTCACAAAATCGTAGCACATTTTAATCATTGGGCACGTATGAAAATACAACAGTCGATACCAGTACTGTTCACCCTTTTTGTCAGTGTAATAGTTGATGCCATGAGTCGAACATCTGTAAATGATATACCTGAAATACGTTTTCTTCAGAAAGTCCACTTACTTTTCTTTATCTGGAACAGCTTCTTTATCCGTTATTTGAAGCTAAATAATCATATTTATATACAAACATATAAAATATTAAAATTACTTACCTCCTGAACCGCTGTCTGATCATGCTTTTGTATGTCTATGTTTCGATATGGCATCCAACAAAACGCAAATAAACCAAATGTTAACAGATTGACCAGGATCAAGGGTTGAGCTAAACTTCTGACATTTGTCATTGTTAGTTTATCATACCAAATTTGATTTAACAATTCATCAACACATGGTGTTGCAAAAAACTTGGCACATTCACCTGCCACTGCAACCTGTACGAGACCTGTTCAAAGCACTATAGTGATAAGAAATGTGAACAAGCTCACCTGCATACAAGTAACATTTCCAAATAGGGGTACTTCACGAATTAATAATTCACACGTCATCTTCTCGTCGTGTGCGTAACATGTTTCGACACATTTGGTGGCAAATTCTTCAAATTCTTCAGCTTCTTCCTCGAGTTTTTGTTGTGCAAAAGCATTTGGTGCTTCTTTCGAAAAATGTTTATAGACTCGTGTAGCGATTAGTGCTGCACATATTCGTGGTTTCAAATGTTTTAAAAATATTTTGACCATGTCAATTTCAGTTGTAAATAGAGCCCAGAGAAATAAATCTCGAATCATTTGATCTTCTGTATAGTCGTGTTTATACAGTTGTGTCCATTCCTTTGTTTCATCGGCAGCTTGAGTTTGATTCGTATGTTTTTCCACATCATTCGACTCGTCGGTTAGTTTATAATATGGTTTGACACATGGACAACAACTGCACAAGCGTCTCTGAAGACTCGAACAACAATTGAATATGTCATGTCCAAATCGTCGAACATTTTTGAATCGTTTTTCATCGAGAACATAAAGATCATCCATAAATGAACCTATCCATTGAGCATAAACTTTATTTAATTGTCGAAATGATGATGGTGCGCTCTCACTATCGAACGTCATTCTTAGAGCAATATACTCGGTCTAAACATTGCATGAATTCAAAGATATGCTTTATAAGTGAAGAAAATTATTGCATAACTTCACCTCATCAGGTTCCGAGAAGGAGTATTTGTACCATTGTAAAATACCGTTCTGATTACAACAAGTACGTGGATCAACACCTGCATGTAAAAAGTAATCGAGAAATGCCGACTTTTTTTCTTTGAGAGCGATCGTGAACAACCTTGTATTAATATCCTAAAAGTTTTGAGTTTATTTAAGAAAATCTGAGAGAAAAGTCAAAATGTGCGCAAAATATATCCATCCCTGAAACTTACTAAGTGAAAGAGCATTTCCAAACTCAAATTTTCTTACATTAGTTAGGTTAGTTAGACCAGACACATTTGTGTAAACGTCAGATAAAGACTTTATAAATCAATATTTGACGATTTTTAAGGATTTTTAAATATATTTTCAAACGACTTAGTGGATCGAAGTCGAAAAAAAGATTTTTAGAATAATCTTTAAGGTATAGTGTCCCGAAAAACTGACCGTACAGTACGTTGCTTTTTTTTGCATTTCGGGTAGATGTCACACAAGATCGTGGTTTGCACTAACTTGTGCGCTGTAGTCTCCTGTCTGTATCAACCAGTTCTGACAGCAAAACTTCGTTTTATTCAGTTTTTATTTAAAAAATAAGTGTATTTTCTATGACCGAAAAATTGTCCATACAGCACCAAAAATAATAAAATAAATGCCGAACTTTGAACTCAAAGTGACAACTTCGGAAGAAAAAAACCTCTGTTAGCTCTTCCCTCACTTCATAAACGCTGAAATGTTAAAAAGATTCATTTCATTACTTCTATTTAAAATATTGTGTTAAATGACACCTAGACGGAGAGAGTATTCTCGTAATATCAGATCTCTTGTTATAAAACACTTTTTGAATGGTGACTTTTACACTGCAATCAGTCGAAAAACGCTTGTGTTGAGATCTTCAGTATAATACATGGTGGTTGAAAAGTTAACAAAAAACAAAATGTATTGAAAATGTGCCTGGCATTAAATGTCATCAAAGTCGTAAATCAGCATCATCAGCGAAGACGGACATCGAAAAAGATAGTGATTAGTGATGTAACAGTTCGAAATAGGGCTTATGAAATAGGTTTATATCGTTCTGCTGCTCACAAAAACCCTACGTAAATAAAATCACTTGTTGCAAACGCCTCGATTACGTCAAATTCGTGTTGTAGCAACAGCTGGGTTATTGGAATAACGTACTTTCGTCTGATGAGTCGAAACTTGATCTCTTCGGATCGGTTGGAAAGAATATGGTTTGGAGAACACCGAAAGAAGAATTTGATCCAAAATTCACAGTATCAACAGTGAAACACGTTGGTGGAAGGTGGGTGTTGTGGAACGTTTTTCGAGAGGTGCTGTTGGGAATGTTGTTTTTTCTTGACCATATAATGGATAGATCCTATTATCGTAAGATTTTACAAAAAGTTTATTACAATCGGCGAAAACAAAAGTATGGCCTTTCAGCTTGATAATGACCCTAAAAATACGGCGGGCATTGTAAAAGACTGATCGGAAGAAAAGAAGATTGATACATTGAAATAGGCTTCCCATCCACCGGTCCTCAATCCTATCGAGCATGTGTAGAATGAGCTTGAACGAAGAAAGATGAAGCATCAACGAATATAAAGATGATTTGAAGCGAATTCTTTTGATGAAATGGATATGTATTAGTAATACGTACGAATGTAATAGAAATCAATTCGGTGCCAAAAAGACTTTATGAATGCATACTAATGAAAGGATATACTACACGATATAAAAAACGTTAAGTAAAATATTTGTTCACTTTTCTTAGTTGCTGTAAGGACACTTTTCAACCATAAAAGACCGGCAAATTCACTTGTTTTTTAAAAAAACTGAATAAAACGAAGTTTACCGATCAAAATTGGCGCATATAGACAAGAGGCCATAGTGCACTCAGCAGCGCGTTAGTGCAAACCAGGATTCTATGTGACATCTACCGGAAACAAAAAAAAAGCAATGTGCTGTACGGTCAGTTTATCGAGACACTGTGTCATTAGATGCAGTTTTATAAGCTGAGTTTGGATATCAACTTTATTTCTGCTTCACACCTGCAGTTCAGTAAATGAATAAACTGTGCCGCTTTCTCTTCCCATTAGAAAATTTGGTGCTTGCTCCGTGCTGAACCAAATTGGATAAAAATTGGGCGCCAGATGCAAAATTTGTCGGTGAATCCGACAGCCGGTTCCTTCCCAATTTTTATCCAATTTGGTTCAGCGCGGAGCAAGCACCAAATTTTCTAATGCAAACGGCGGAATATATATATCATTGTTCTGATCAATGTTTAAGTGGAAAAACGTACGGAGAAAGAACAAAAGAAAAAGATATCTGTAGCATCTATTATTTAGTAAAAGATCAGTCGACAGTGAGTCGGTTCTTCGCTGTCAATCAATTTTATTTTGAAATTTCAACACTGTTTTAAACGAGTCGTAATAACAGCCTTTAAAATAACCCTATCTCATGCAGTAGGGTGTCGCTTTACCCTTCTCTACCAAGTAATAAGTAATAAAACTTATTAGCTATTATCTGGAAACAAGTAATAAATCTTCTTGTTTTATTACTTATTCTTTTTATCAAGTAATAATCTTTTATTACTTTACCTATTACTAATAAGAAGAAAAGCAATAAAAAGTAATAAGTAAATTAATAAACAATTATTACTTGAAAAAAGGAATAAGTCATAAAACTTATAACTTTTACCGGATAATGTAAGAATTAGTGATAATAAAGTATCACTCCTATTATGCAGAATAAAAAACTTTATAAACTGAGATGTTTAAATCTTTGGCCAACCCCTAACGCCGATTTGCTTTTATAAATATGGTCGAAAACGTCACTTTTATGAAAAACTAAAAATCAAAAAGTGCAGACATTAAAACTACTGAGAGTTTTTTTAAAAAATGTGTTCAGTTTACTAATACGTTGCACGAAATGCCGCGAAAAATGAATTAAAGTACGGAAAACATCTATTGTTTTCAGATTTTAGTAAAACATTTATAGGTCGGTCATTTTCGGTTTCTAAGCTCAAAAAAAATTTCTTCACTTCAGACCTAAATGCTCTTTCACATGAGATCACTGAAAAAGCACCTTAATTTTCAACCATGCGCTGGCTTTTACACGGGAATGCTAAATTTAGATGGTCTCGTCCTGCGTCTTTTAACGATCAGAAAAACTCAAACCTACACTAACGTCGGCGCTTCCACTTGATAGTCCTGGAAGCGGTAGAACTCCGGTCGGTTGCAAGATTTGTGACAATGTAGGCTTCTGTATCTTTTCTTTAAATTTGAGCTCTTCGTCTCTGTTTCGTTTTCGCTCAAATAATTCTTTTGCTGCATCAAGACACTCCCATTTGACTGCGAGTTCAAGAAGTGCTGACTGACTTTTTTCCGACTGAAAATTTGTATTTGATCGATCTCGAGACTCATTCAAGTTAGTATTTGTATTTTCGCCGTAGGCTAGAAAAATGAAGAAAAATTTCATATTTTTTCCGTTTTGTTGTTAGTGTAACATACCAGAAAATATCGCTTTGAAAACTGAATCGGCAAAATTCATATCTCGATCTAATCGAAACACATTCAAAAAACGTCGATTTTCTTTCGACATAATATTAACGGTATGAATCACACATATACTGAAATCACTCTCAGTGAAATCAACGTAAATACTTTTGTCACCAGTAGGAAATATCTCCCGCAATTGTTCCTCGATTTCATCTTGTGTAACATCTCTGTATTCAAAGCATCATTTGGTAGTGTAGATGAAGAACATTTTTAAAAGCAAAATTACCGTTTACTGATTTCACTTAATTCGATAAGATTTGACAGTACATCTGCCAGTCGACCACTTCCCTTGAATTAGTAACAGTATTGGTTTTTATCAAGATGGCATTTATCAGGCTTGAGGCTATACTACTTGAATGATGACCACTGGTCGGTGTGCTTGCAGATCATTATTTATTACATCTAACGTGTGTCTACCACCTTCGACAATAATTGTTACCGGATAACCTTTGCAGAAAGCAGTAAAGACAATAAGTCAGTTGAAAAAAGAAACGGATTACCGCCCGACATATATATATGTACTCAGCAGAATGAATAAGAGAGATAGTGGCTCACACGCAACTGCTATATAATGGTATTACTTGTTTTTCGAATAACTTAAGCTCGCCCAGGTCAGAAATCTATCGCACCCAAACTTTCAGGGAATGTTGATCATGTCAAAGTGTGGTAACGAAATTTTTTTTGGTCCTACTGGTAACTGTTCGTGAGAGGGCGCCACAATAAGGACCAAAAATAGGCGTCTGTCATGCACAGGAATTCTCATTCCATGTAAATGATAGAGAGCTCGGGCTGGTCTTGTTTAGCAGTAAACACCTATCACTGGGAGTTGACAGAGCCCGATTTTTGAATTTCTCATTTACTGATTTCTGGTGCTTAACATAACCTTAAAGTCCGAAAAATCCTTACAAAGTTTCTTAGAAAGCCGCATTTCTATAAAAAATAGAAGCATAATTTAAAAATCGGACTCTGTCAAGTCCTAGTTATAAGTATTACCAACAAATCAAAAAAAGAACCTTTCTCCTATGTACCGTTATCGAGAATTCCTGTGCGCGGCGAAAGCCCTGAAGCTAAAAAACAGTCTTGATAAAAACGTAAAACAAGTTTTGATTCTGTTAAATGCATTTTACTTAAAAACTGTTTGAGCGTTAAATAATTTGTTGATATTTTGCGAGAGGTTATCGGTCATGGCGGATCTAATGAACATGTGCGCGGCCATGTGCCGCACATGCGTCGACTTATACAATACAAGTGCAAAAAAGTCATTTTTTTGTTGTTTAGGGCTTCTGCAAAACTCGCTCAAATCCTTTGAAAATCTGTCCTATCGACACAAAAAATATGCCATTAGAAAGTAGACACTTTGGGCTATCCAACCATGTGCTTTTCTCAAAATCAATAGAGTTGACGAAAGTCGCCATTTCTGACCCGGCGGGGAGCCCTAACAATGAAAAGAGCTAGAGAACCCCGGTTTTTACCAATCATAAGTAGAAACTGTGGAACATACTTTTGTAACAGACATTAATTCAAAAATATTTTTTAATGCAGTTTTTCAAGGTGATCTTTGAAAAATCGGATCATAGCTAAACAACTTCATAGGTGGATAGCCATAAGTTTATTCTTTGAAACGGGAGTCTTGATCTCTAGTGGTTCGGCCATAGTATGGCATTTTTTTGGAGTCTCGGTATTGATACCCGATGACTTGTGCTAACCTTGATATCGCATGAAACATACGTAATCGACCTCGTTAAGTCTAGTGGCAATGTAGAATTGTTGAACATACATGAAACAATGTAGAATATTTTGGTTGATGAAGAAATAGTTGTTTTACAGCCAATATACTATAAAAGTGCTCAATCAAAACGAAAAGTAGCTTTGCTAAGAGCTCTCATCGAAAACACCTGGGGTATCTGTGTCCTGAAGTCAGGGAATGTTGTCTCGCAGAGCAGGACAGGCTCAAAGTTTCAAAAAAAATGGAAAAATTGGCCTAAAAAAATTGATTTTCCTTGTATTAAATGCTGTGTAGTCTTAATCAGCCTTACTTTACTGGGATAAAGTCTGAGAAGCAGCACAGGACGAATATTCTTTAATCAATTTCGCGTCAGGGTTGTGGAAAAAAATTATATGTGACAAAGTTCATTTTCCGGAAAAACAAAAACTTTTAAAAAAATTCTTGAGTCTCATCTTGATATTTTGGTAGCTAGACTAAATGATTGTCATTTGGCCAAGCACGAAAAAAAATCATGAAGCGGGCGCTGCATCTAGATTAAAAGGTACATTTATCTAGCTTCAGCTAGCTGTATAGAAATGCATGAAAATTTTATCTAGCTTCAGCTTTGAAGCTAGTTTCAATTGGATACAACTAGTTGCTATCGATTAATGGGGCAATTCATTGCTCGATTAATTGATCCATGGAGTGGCCGTTTCAGCTAGTACACAATTTCAATCAGCATGCAGCTAGATAAATATACCTTTTAATCTAGTTAATCTAGCTGTAAGTGGGCGCTGCAGCTACTTCTGTAGCTAGACTGCAGCTTGCTTAGTTTTGCTTGGGGGGATATAAATAAAAGTTTCAGCTAAACAGCACGTTCTGTTAAATATGTGATGGATGTTAGGAATGCCAGCTCTCTCTGATTCACCGTGCCGATATTAAAAGGAAAATTTTAGCGTGGTTTTCATGATCAGAGCATCTACATCTCCATATTTTATGGGAAGCATATATTCGATCAAACTCTCTGCAACGGAAAAGCCATGGAAAAGGGGTTAAATCAAAATTTTGGAGGAATCATTGCGACTTTACAACTTGGAAAACCCTTATCTTGGTGGTCCTTTAGACAAGAAAATATACTTAATATCAATAAAAAAACCGCTAGTGGAAATAAAAGAATTTAGCAAGCGAATAGCAAGCACACCGTTATATGGTCTACAAATGTCAGACAGAGCGCCCCACATTTTTCCTATAACATAACTAGGCAGCTGTAACAAGTTAAGAACAACTTACTTCTGTCATCTACAGCAGCTTGCACAAATGATGATCGCTGTAAATCGCTCAGATAACCTCTTAGCTGACCATCATCGAGTAAAAGAAAATGTGTGTGGTTCCATTCCAACATTTCGCCGTTTTCAAAAGTCAATACCCTAGAACTACTTTCCATTTTCGACTATAATGAATCATTGGAAACTATTTAAAAAACGATTGAAACATATGTTTCGTAGTACCTGATGTTTCAACAGCTCTCTTGTATCCTCCGACAAACACCCCCACAGTGATAAGCCAATAGCCGTGACTCGTTTAGGATGTTTTGCCAGCAGACGATAACGAGAAATACCTTCTCCAACCAATTTTGACACACCGTTATTTAGACCCGTTGTCAAAATCCATGCACCTAAAACATACTAAATTTCCACTTAGTTGTACCGAAAGACTAATCTTCTTCAACTCGATACAAGTATGATTTTCTGTAGCAATTCGTAAGCAAAACCTCTACGTGCGCTGTAAGGGAAACGATAACACGCTTGCCACCCTTGCATGCAACGGCTATACACTGTGGAAGAAATGGAATAGTTCACTTTTAAGTGGATCACGTTTCGGAAAGTCTTAGAAGCACCTCGCCTTTCCACATTTCTGAAGAATAGCTTATGATAATGACATGAATCTTTTGTGAAAGTGGATCTCAATAAGTATTAAAAATTCTACCCGATGAAGCCGCACTCGGTACTTAATTCAGAAGGTACAGAGGTAGCAATATTGAAGATCAGCTTGCTGTCGGTGGAGCGTTTCTGCGGAATGACATGTACCGGTCTACTATTTTTTATTTATAAAAATTGCTCTTACTTCGGCCAAAACATAAAGAATAGAAAGTCTTCCCATTCTTTTCTATTTTTTGGGGTATTAGTTGAGTAAAATAAAAACTTTTCTCAACAAAGAATCGATCTGTTTCAAAATATTAAACATAGGTTCATAGATACGTGTTTGCTATCTATGGTAAATCTTCTGCTTGATTGAACATGTCTTTCGGGTCGAAACGCTGCTCGACATTTTTGCATTTCTTTGAACAACGATTTAGAATCGAGGTCAGAAGGAGAGAGATACCCCACGTGCAGGCCCAAGGAAAAAGTTGAATACTGGTGCTGTGTAGCAGAATACCAGTTGAATACTATACTTTTCCCTCCAAAACAATTGCTTTTGTAACATAGACTGAGAGACTTATCATAATGATGATCAGTTTGAAAAGACAGATTACAATAGTTACCGGCACTTATTGCCACTTTGACGATACCCTCCATAAATTTTTTTTCTAAACGTTCGTTCATTCGAAAATACTTTGCTCCTCCACAAACACTCATTATCAAACTTGGGTTGCCACAATCTTGTACAATCAAGTTGTACAATATATCAAGTTTAGTTTTTCTGATATCACATCGTAAATACTAAAAGCACTTTAAGATGATAAAACAATAAATTAAACCTGAACTAAATTCTACCTTTGAATTATTCGACAGTGTTCCGTACACTGATAGTGGAACGGATACTGTATCATTTATTATGCTCCATGATTTTTTTAAGCGTTCATCAACCGTCTGATACAAGCCGATTTCATCAGTAAAGCTGTGTTTACGTATGATTCTGTTGCATCCACATCGTTGTTCTGCTAAACGAGACTTCTCATGATTATTAAATAATTTGCACGTGCGTGATTGAAGACTGTTATTTTGTTTGGATTCCTCAACCAGTTGATTCCACTTGCTTTTCATTAGGCTGGAAACACTCGCGTTTTACTTTTCAATATTGAACTTACTATATTTTCATTTTGAAAAACATGTTTTAAAAATTTTTATTTCTCATAAGCTCTTATTTCCTTTTTATAATTCTTTTCAAGACATCTTACACCAGCAAGTATATTATGTGAAAATAAGTTTTAAACTTTACTGTGTTTACGATCCTTGATAACGTTTTTTTTTCTTTCTTTTATTGTTCCACTTTTCTTTAATTGTGTGTAAATGTCATATTACCTATTTCGTTGTCATTGTACATGAACGGAATATCAATGATTCTTAAACTGGCATAAACTCGAAAAAGACTATAAATTTTATTCTGAAAGCAAGGAAAATAAAACAAAAAAAAGCTCTGCTGCTAAACATACAGTGGGGACAACTCATTCCCAGAAGTTCAGTCCTGATAGATTCTGGTGTTCTTTATTTAACAAAAAAGGATTTATGTCGGAGAACGGTAGTAAAATCTTATCTTAGTTCCACATAAGAATACTATACCGGAACATTATATTTGTTCACGGATACAAATTTACAATTGATAAAATAGTAACGGGAGCTGATTTTAAATTTATATTTATTGAATTAATAATAAAAAAAATTTAAGAAAAAGTCGACGTTTCGACAAATTGTAGTTTGCATTTTCGAGACGATGAAAACGTTTAACGGGGTGTAAAGTTACAGTGAAACTGACTAAAGAGATGAAAGGAAAGAAGAAACTCTATATTTTTGTGGGAGTAAGAGAGAAGTAAACATTCTTTGTAAGAGAGAGAAACATATTTTGTAAAATTTGGAACATGAAACAGACTGTGCAGTACAAAATACCTTGAGATTACTATATGAAAGGGGAACCAAACGTACCATGCTAAGTATTTTTGACTCACACTTCTAATATCATCAAAGAATTTTTGATGAGTAAACGACAAGAATTTGAATCTGTGAATAAAATTTTAAACTCTTCCCGATTAATCGTATGATTCGTATTCGACTTATGTTTAGAAGAGCTGACTTTACATTTTGCTTAGAGATTGTTACGTCGAATAATCCCGTCACCATCTCGCCAGTTGTCTCGTCATCGTTTTATTTGTGACAGCCCTTTATTAGCAAGTCGAGAAGAACGTCTTAAATTAGATTCATCTTGACATGGTGAAAAGTGACTTTTAACACTTAATATTCTCCTTGAGGGGGGGGGGGGGGGGGGGGTTTTTTTGTGTTTTTGGATGTGCCAAAAAAGTCGCGCGGCCCCCCACATCGGGACAAATGGGGCAAAAAAAAAAAAAAAAAAAAAACCGTTNCCCCCCCCCCCCCCCCCCCCCCCCCCCCCCCCCCCCCCCCCCCCCCCCCCCCCCCCCCCCCCCCCAGTTATAGTGATCTTTCAGTTCTCTAAAAATCTCTCATGCACACACAATCTGAGAAATAGTCAACAGCACAGTAATACAAGCCCTTCGTGACAAAAACTCCCGGCACAAAAAAATCACCACATACCACTACTAATAATACAACTAGAAAAAACACACCTATCCCTCACGCTAGATGTTGCAAACACGCAGTAACCTCAAGAAAAATCATACTTGAAAAGCAACTACACTCATCTTCTACCACTGATCTTACCAGAAGAACACTGAACCATCCCACGAAAATACACTTTACCCGTACACCCACAACAACTACTTGTGACTGATACTAATCGACTATAGCGCATCCAATGGGCGTAGGCACGCCGTGTCCAAAGGATATCCAGAAGACCTTCAGGAAAACTTCAGAAAGCCTTTCTATTAATCTTGATATATGTAGCTGAAAAAAGCTTTTATAGATAATCAACTATTGAATATTTCTTAACGAGTGAGCTCGACCAACGATAAATTATATAAAAAGCTTTTGTTTTCTACTGTTAAATATTCATATTAAGTTAATATGATTATTTCCCAATGTAAAGCCTATTCCATAGCAGAAGACCACCTGATCTTCTATTTTGTCCAGCAAGTCGAATTCTAAAGGATCGTCTTCTATTGTGATCAAATTTTGTCGCTTGCTAGTAGTTCAACGGTAGAGGACCATTTTCTTTTATTTGGCATTCAAATCATGTAATCGATAGTGGTCTTCTATTATGGAAGTGGGTTTATAAGTGGACCCGGTTTACTATTTTTTACATCGTAGAGATGTTCAACCCGGCCTGATCTTCTTACTCTTAGATTGTAATACTAACTGCTCAGATACGGGAGCTAACTGTTTTTAGCAAGTTATCGAATGACCAAGTATGCAATGGGATTCCAAAGCTTTCTAGCATAACTTGCTTTAACTAACAGTATAATGATACTAAGTATGGATCAATTTTGTCCATTCTGTTTTATCAATACCAACGCGGTAAACAGATCGATGATATGGTGCCACGCTGAAAAAGCATATGGTAGTCACCGGGATTGTGTGACAAAGACGATAACAAATATCTGTTGTTGGTTAATCTCATCATTTTGTTTGAAAGAATACCAATACCATTTTAGAATACCATTTTTTTGACAAAAACAGCGAACATCAATTCCTATATGAAGAAAATAATCATCAATGTGCAATCGCAAAGTTTAAATAACGGTACATGTGTGATAACATATGACACAACTGGTATACGATCCTTCCAATGCTTTTGTATAGAATAATACTATGATGAATATAACACCAAATTCAAATCCATTTAGAAAATAATATTTACTCTACATCTTCATTGCTTCTATTACGGTTATAATAATTCAACCTTGAATTTAATCGTTAAGTATCAACAAGTGTAGCCATCATCATCACGTCAAACTTGTGATTAAACTATCAGAAAACAAGGCCGCCTACATTGAGTATACTTAAGTTATATGATAAACATCATCAGGCAACGCAACTATTATATTTCATAATATATATTCAACAAAATAAAATAATAGTTAATGTATCGACAAATTTAACAACAAGAAATCAGTGTTCACATGCTGATCAGTTGTTGAACGGTAGGACAGGTGAGCTATTCGGAATATCAGTAATTTTTAGATTACTTTGTCAATTAAAACTTTGCTTGTCTGCTTAAAAGCAGTGAATGATACGACGCCTGCTTTGTATAAATATGACCAAATATACCGACGTAACAGAACAGGAAATGAATCACTATATTTTGTGGTAATTATCGTAGTGAATTTGTTTTGGTTCTAATTACTTACTTCATTTAAATCAGCAGTGTTTAGCAAATGGTCGATGTTTAGACGATATAACCAATTACTTATGTCTCTGTCCATACTGACATTCTGCCAAGGGTGGGGGAAAGCGGATTGGCGTATTTCGGTATTCTTATAGATTCGGAAGTATT